CCGTCTGACAAAAGCACAGCAACAGGATGTTGTCAAAATGGGGGTCACTGAATTCCGGGTTCCTCTGTCAGTTATCCGATGGCACCTCCTTGCTCTGACGACACACTAAGTACCTAGTAGTCAGTCATTCAAACCTCCAGCTCCTTTGATGTCCAAGTGCTCAAAGTGGAAATCAGAACCTCACAGAGATGGTTCTGGGGAACTGCAGAGCCACATACACACACCCCTATACTGGAGGAGCCCTGAGGGAGCCCCACATTCCAACAGGATCTCCTCTCCCTTTCCACCTACAGGCGCCCCTCTCCGGCTCAGTCTGGGCCATTCTGCTCATCCTTTAGAGGCCAGGCCACTGCTCACGGTGACACTGATGGGAACACCCTTTTTGTTAGGCATTATGTTGATGCCAGTACAGAATAGGGCCACAGGGAGGTGACCAGCTTATAAGATGGGCATCAGACACCTCTCTCCGGGACAGTCTCCTGACACTGGAGCCCCATCTGGTCTCAATTTGTGAAAATCCACCTGCTTCACTCTACCAATTCAGAAAAGCTCTGACTAAGAAAGGGGTGGCCTCTAGGGAACACTTGTTCTGGGTCACACGAAATCCTAAAAGGCAGGCACCACCACTCTCCCTAAAAGGTGTCACCCAGTCACATGACTCTCACCTACCATCTCCCCATACAACTACACTGATATTTAAAACAGAAAAGTCAGACATGGTGGCTCACATCTTTAATCCCAGCCACCAGGAGACAGAGGCAGGAGGATCTCTGTGAGTTTTAGGCCAGCTAGGCCTACATAGTCAGTCCCAGGACAGCTAAGACTCGGAGTGAAACCCACTGCTGACCCTCAGCAAGTTCGGGTCTTGGTTTCTAAAAAGCCAGGCCCACCAGCAATGACTCAGCCCGGGGCGAGCGTTCCATTTCAAGGAGCCACTGTGACTGGGGCAGGAGCTGCCATCACACGCAGAGTACAGGCCTCAAGGAAGCTGCTTCTTCCAGACAGAGCTCTTTACTTTCCACAGAACTCTGTCTTTTCAGACGCCCAGCACTTCTGTACGCTGGCACTTCCATTCCCACAGGAACAAGGCTGAGGAATCTGAATCCTCTGTGAGGGAGGCCCTAGCTGGCGAGCAGGCAGCATTGCCATTTCCTTAGAAGACACAAGAAGTGACCCAAGGGTGTGCTTGCCTAATCCCCAAGCAACTGCTCCTTTTATGGGAGTGCCTGCCAGTCAACAGGGTTCATGTGGACAGATAAAGACACATTCCACAGGCATGCAGAAATAAGTTCAAGAAAGGAGGCCAGTAAGACGGTTTAGGGCAGTGGCCCTCCACTTTCCTAACCCTGTGACCTTTAATATGGTTCCTCAAATTGTGGTGACCCCCAAACCATAAAACTGTTTTCACTACTGCTCCATAACTGTAATTTTGCTACTGTTAAGAATTATATTGTAAACATCTGTGTTTTCCCATGGTCTTAGGCCACCCCCGTAAAAGGGTCATTCAATCTCCAGAGGGGGTCACAACCCACAGGTTGAGAACCACTGGTTTAAGTGGCAAAGATTCTTGTTGTGCAAGTCTGAGTTCAATCCCTCTTTCCCACAGAGGAAGAAAAGAACTTACTCCTCAAGTTGTTCTCTGACCCCTATCTATACACCAATACCCATCTGTACCCCCCCAAAAAAAGTCAGCCAGGTGTGGGGATGCACGCCTTTCGTCCCAACACTTGGGAGGCAGAAGCAGGCGGATCTGTGGGCCAGCCTGGACACAAACATGCCCCTCCACACCAAAGATGAAAAGGCCAGTAATGGTGTCTGCATTTAAGGAGCCGCAGAACGGACAGGAGAGCCGGAAAAAGAGAAAACACGCGGGCCCAGAGCCTATAGCACCGGCATCATTTTAATGTCCTGAGCTGTGCTAAAACTCGCAGGCTGCAATTAAAATAGTGTATGCGGACACATGCCCACTGCAGTTAAGCCCAAGTGAGTCCTCCAACAAGACACACTTATGGCAGCCACAAAACATCCCTTCAGGCTGGGAGAAGCCTACTCTACAATTTAAAACACTTCCTCCTGCCAGCTGAGAGAGAGAGAGAGAGAGAGAGAGAGAGAGAGAGAGATTGAGATTGATTTCGGATTATGAGACTCTGCTGAGAGTCACTCCCCATGCTTCCTAGAGACACCAAGTCACATGACCCTTGACCCTTCCAACTGTACAAAGATACGATTTTTACTAGGCTAAAGGCAAGTCTGAATTTACTTTAAAGTTTTCTAAATGAGACCCTATTCATCTGTTGGGATGACATCAATTACTCTTTCAAAAAGAGATCCCCAGGTGTTAAGGCGATCTCTCTGTGTGTACTCAGACATGTATGTGCATAGGCACATAGGGCAGCACGGACACTAGAGTGTGGAGGCCAGAGGGAAAGCTCGGTGCCCCTGCCTCAGGTGCAGTCCACCTTGTTCTATCTATGCGACAGCACCTCTCACAGGCCTGCAGTTTGCTGGTGTACTCCAGGGATCCTCCTGTCTCCCCCGTCCTGGGGGAGCCAAATGGATGACAATGGTATTGTCAGCATTCCTGGCTTTTTACATGGGTTCTGGGGACCGAATGCAGGTCTTCCTACCGCTCCGGTTCCAGCCACTACTTGCTACTGAATGTTGAACACTAACCAAAAGTCACCACTCACCTGACCATTACCATCATACAGTCCTTCCCAAGAGCTGTTCAGAGAGGTGCAGTGACCTGCCTACAATCACACAGCACGAAAGCAGCCAAGTCCAGCCCACAGTCTACAATTCCAAAGCCCGATGTTCTTTAACCCTTTTATCATGCACAGACCATTTGCTCAGGAGTTCACAGAATAGTCTCTTGAAACCATCCCCAAATAAATACATGGAATTAAAGGGGTGTGCACCCACCTCCCCAGCTGAAACCTGGAGATTGTAATAGGAGAAAGTCAAATGAATCTAGCAGGATTTTAAATTTTATCTTTGAGTACAAGTATCCTTCCTACCGTAGAACCGTATGAAAACGCTGACTGGCAGACCCCGCCCGAGCAGACCAGAGAGTGACTTCCTACCGTAGAACCATATGGAAACGCTGAGGACTGGCAGACCCCATCCAAGCAGACCAGAGAGTGACTGAAATTACTCAGCAATAGTTGTTTCTGAAGGCGTCATGCTTTTAAAACAAGGAAACCAGGGGTTCTGGTTTTCTAGCTGTTTCCTTGTTTTAATTCCAGCACTCGGGAGGGAGAGGCAAGCAGATCTCTGAGTTTGTGGTCAGCCTGGTCTACAGAGCAAGTTCCAGGATGACGACCAGGGGTGTTACACAGAGAAACCCTGCCCCCCCCCCAAAAAATAAAAACACGCTCCAGGTTTTTAGAGAGGCTAGAGTCACCCACCAGCAGGCTGTTTGACTCACCCCCCACCAATCCCTCCGCTAAACAGCAGTCTATTTTATTAAATGTTCCACCTACAGAGTTCCAGTAGCTGTTCTGGCTGAGGCAGAATAGTCACATATAGCAAAGTTGCAGCCTGCAGGCAGGGTCGCGTGCTGAAAAGCACACCTATCGTGTTATTATTAAAGTAGAGCGCCACTCTGCCCACAGCCAACGAAACGTCTCCCAGAAATGGCAGAGAAGCACATCAAGGGTTGCCGTTTCTTGTGCAGACACAGAATTCTCAATTCAGCCACGAAAGACGGATTTTGTCTCTTATTCTCCAAAATGGAAATTGCCACATGGATACCACAAACTGGGTAAATTACATCTCAGAGCAACGTTCTATGTGCCAAGCTGCAAAGCCCGTGAATACAAGGGGTGTATTAATGGAAAGACTGATACCATCTTACTACAGTGGCCTCTCTGTGGAGGCAGACAATGAACTGTTGAGGGGTTTCCAGGGATTCTGAATGTACAAGACCCCTTGGAAGGGGGCTGGCTGGGTGCTGAACAATCCTTCTTCGGAAAGCCTGCCAAAAGCCCCTTACACCAGCTTCTGGCAGAAGGAGAAGCTAGGCACTGCAGGCCTAGGGAAGCTCAGACTTCCCAGACAAAGGAGGTAGGTGGGCCAGGGATAGCTAGATCAGTCAACCCCAGATTCAGCACTTCAGACTCAGGACCAGTTGGGAGAGAAGCGAAAAGGGAAGTCAGTCACTCAGAGCAAACCACAAGCAAGGTGTGGAGGAAGATAACATGGGCGGGCACATGCCTTCCAGAGGCTGGGCAGGCCCTGGACCATAGCGAGGGGGGGTTCAGCAGTCAGCTCCCAGCCCCCATTTACTCTGTGGCCAGAAGCAATTTCAGGACCCAAAGAGGTGGGCAGACAACCGTGAGGTACAGCCAGCCATGCTAGAACTCCCTCCATCCCTTCTCTCCATGAAGGCCGGGATGCCTGGGGAAAGGGGAGCCTCTTGCTACCCACGGACCGTGCACAGAACAAGCAAAGGAAGGAACTCTTGAGCCAACTCTGCTACGGCCACTTTGACGGGAAGGCGCACTTGGGGAGCCGGCAGCCACGGGGCCCCTTCCCACCTCAACCCTGGCTGTCTGTGGCCTGGAGCCTCTGAACTTCGAGGGCCCCTCTCGGAATATCATCCCAGACTCAGCTACAGACCTCTGCTACCCACACGCCCATCTAAAAACCGTCCGTCAGCTCCGGCTAGTCCCCCGACCCGAGCCGCAAGGACTGGCTCCAGTGCCCCGAAGACTTTCCAAGCTTTCCCTTCGAAGCGTTTAAAATCCGAGCCTAACCTACCTGCCTTGGTGCCCTAAGAGTCCTCGGAAGACTCAGCCGCAGTCCCCTCCACAGCTACCACCCCAATCTCGGAGTCTTCGCTCCCTCTCGCGGCCCCACACACAGCAATGTTCTAGGCACTGATCGCCGTCTCGAGCCGGCCTGGGGCCCTCCGAGCCCCCAATCCTCGCCCCAGGGCCCCGCTCCGGCTGCCAGCGCGCGGTCCGAGCGCCCCCCTCACCCCGTCCCAAGGAGCTCACCTCCTCCATCCCCCGGACCATGTCACCGAGCCGCGCGTCGTCCTCCAGCAGCTCGTGCAGCTGCATGAGCGACAGCCCCGCGAAGCGCGACTCGCTCGCGGCGCCCGCCATCCCGCCACTCGGCCGCCGCCGCCGCTGCCGCCACTCTGGCCGCCGTGCTCCGCCGACCGGAAGCGCCGCCCTCAGGCCCCACCCCCCGCGGGGGGGGCACGTGACGCCAGCGCTGGGTGTGACGTCATCGGCGCGCGAGCGCGTCGCCCGGGTCCGAGGCTTCTGAGAGGGGACTTTGAAGGCTTGTGACAGTACCCACGCATGATGTCACTACGGTGAGCGTGAGTATGTCGTGAGGTCGTAAGATTATTATTTTTTTCACCCCCTCGAGAAAGAAAAGAACAAAGGACTCAAAGGGCAGGCTTCAATCCCTGCTCTTTTGAGTTCGAGGCCAGCAAGGTCTATTTGAGAGCGTTCCCAAGCCGGCCAGGTCTACTTAGTAAGACCCTGCCTCAAAAACAAAATAAATAAATAAAAACAGAAAGCAAACAGAAGAAACGCCAGAAGCTCAGAGTCGAGACTGATCCCAGAGCCCTGAAGGAGACTGAGTGGGAAATACATCCAGGTGCCTTCGACATACCCTTGGAATGTGGTACAGTATTAGGCATTGAGTATAGAATTTAATAAACAAAGCTTTTTGTATATGTGTGTCTGTCGTGTGGTTACAGTGCCCTCTGAGGCCTGAAGATGGTGTCCATCCCCTGCTGACCCACGTCTCCTCTCCCATAATTTATCGCTTTAACTTTTTGAAGCAGAATCTCAGTGTAGCCCAGGCTGAACCAGAAAACTCACAGCAATCCTTCTATGGCACCCTCCAAAATGCTAGGATTGCAGACAGGAGCCACCATGCCCGGCTGAGTGTTGAGTTCTGAATAAAACAGGACACCCCACCTACATACAGCAGACAGGGGGACCCCAAACAGACATAATGACTATACACCCTAGGAAATCAAAGAAAGGTGGCGCCAAAATAACATAGACCTTTATAGAACTATAAGAGGTGACCTTCTAGAAGGTAGCAACTGAGATCTGAAGAAGGGATGAACCCACTGCCATTCCTGCAGGACACTCAAGCATCAAGCCCAGCGTTTGTGAAGGCCCTGAGGCAGGACAAGCTGGGGACATTTCATGAATGAGAGAACTATGTGGGAGAAGGACACACGTGGGTGGCCCCTTTGACCATGCCAGGGGGAAGATGCCCACACGTCCAGGCGAACCAAGCTGAACCTTGCAGAGACCTCACAATTTTGGGTACAACTGCTCAGTCTCTCCAGCTGTCTGGAGATGGAGGGGTGAGGGGATTCATGACCCTGCTTTAGACTTCGTCACCGTTCTAGTTAGAAGAAACCTAAGACCCAGGCTGATCTCTACATGTCCATTTGGAAACTGTGGCCCTGGAACAAGGAAGCTGGGCTCCCCGCCCACAAGTCCTCATGGGCAGGACTCCTCCTCGCAGCCTGGCACCAGTCAGTCACACCGACATCATACTGAGCCGATTGCGTTATCGTGTGCAACTGGCCCTGAGCACAGTCAGGCATTTAGGAGATACTTATTGGCTGACTGGTGGCCTTCGTGTGTGAAGATGAGATTTCTGTGACTCCTTAGTAGAATATGAGGTCTGAGCTGTCCACCTGTGCGTTTGACTGGGCTCCACTGACTCAGTCCTCCTGCCCTCTGTGCTCGGGAAAGGCACACTAAGTTAGAGGAGGTGTTTCCTTTGAACTCCAAGCAGACGGTTTCACAGACAACAGGAAGGAGACTTTTCGTTTTCTTCAAGAAATATGGTCCTGAGGGGGAAAGATCATGATGAAGATGGAAAAGTATGGAAGTAGCGTGTTTATGGTATTTTAGCTTTCTCCCCTGGAAAACAAATCACACCTGCCTCAGAGGTATAGCTACACTCTCAGGAAGTATCCCTTGAACTTTAAGATAGAACTTCTTCACAGTGCCCATGGACGATGAGAGTAAGGCCAAAGGTCAGAGGACGCAGAGGAAGGAGCCCGTTTCACTAAGCCTAGACCAGCAAGCAGCAAGCCAGGAAGCCAGAAGTGACAGCAACCTACACATATGATTCCAGTACTTGGGAAGGGGAGGCAAGGTCAGGCTGGGTTATATGAGACCCTGTCTCTCCCTCCTCCCAACCCCACCAAAAAGGCAGAGCAAGGTGTACCAGGCTTTTTCTTTGGGGCCATCAACCAGCTCCCAGATTGTGACATGGAGACTTACTATTAGTTTTGAGACTATTAGGCCTAGTTTTATTACTATTAGGCCTAACTTTGGCAAGCTCTTTTAATTTAAATTAACCTGTTTCTCTTTATCTACCATTTGCCTTGGGGCTTTTTAGTTTTTTGTTTGTTTGCTTCCTTTGGTTTTTGTTGTTGTTTTGTTTTGCCTTTTCTTCTGTATATCTTACTTTCACTGCTTCTGTTTACTGGCTGGGCATCTCCCTGTTCTCTCTTTTCTCATTCTTCTCTCTCATTGTAGGTCTCTCCTATTTATTCTCTATGCCCACCAGCCTCCCTATCCCTCTCCTGCCTAGCTATTGGTCATTCAGCTCTTTATTAAACCAATCAGGTACCTTAGGCAGGCAAGGTGAAACAAATGTAACACACCTTTATGTAATTAAACACACATCCTTACTTGGATAAACAAATGCAGCATAAACAAATGTAACACATCTTTGCCCATCTTTTCCACAACAGCACGCAGTTTATGAATGGCGCTCGTGCACACAGTGACAGCTCAAGGGTGTCATTTAAGTGAGGCTCACATCCCAACATTGCAGCTTTGCACGTCCTCAGAGTTCCTCACCCCTGCTCCTTTGCCACTGACTATCCAAGTCAGATACCACTTCCTTTGTCAAAGAAAACCACAAAATCATCTTGTTTCTGCCACTCCAAAAATGTGAAGTAGCTCTCAAAGGGGCTAAGGGAAATAGAAGAAACCATTGTCAAGGTTCTGGGTGCTGTCTGTGGAGGGCTCTGCCAGAGCTGGACGTTCTCTCCTTTGTTTCGGATGTATGGTGTTTGTTTCTCTCTGCACCTACATCTCCTGAAAGACTTGTGGGTTAACAGGACTTTGTTCTGAGGAATCAAGGGCCACCTGTGTACATGACCGCCAGGGCTCTTTCTCAAAGGGAACATTGTTGCTGGGTAAACCAGGCATCTCCCGTTACACAGTATCAGGAACTGTCAGGAAAGCAAGCAGTACTTGCAAAAAGGAAAAAAAAAGTTCGTCCTCTAATTTGATTTTGTTTCATTGGATATTTTTGTTTTTGGAAACAGAGTTTGTGTAGCCCTAGCTGTCTTGAAACTAGCTCTGTAGACCAGGAAACCTTCTACAGAGATCCGCCTGCCTCTGCCTCCCAAGTACTGGGATTAAAGGCGTGCATCACCATGCCTGGCCTATAATTTTAATGGTAAATGGTAAAGGTAGAATTCCTTCTCTTCAGTGGTCACTGATAGAAGTATTCATAAAGAGTGTCTAGTTTAAAGCCAGGTATGGTAGCTCATGCCTGTAATCTGAGCATTTCAGAAGCTGAAGCAGGAGGATTGCTGTTTGACACCTGGGGTATATATACAGTATATTCCAGACCAGCCTTGGCTGTAGTATAAGACTTCGTCTCAAAAGTAAAGTGAAGAGGTTTCTGGTTGGAGAAGGTGGGAGAGTATTGTGTGACCATGGTAAGTGTGCCCGGCTCAGGCTGTGCAGCTGTGTGTGGGTGCTAGAGGAATGATTCCCCAAGGCATCAGGTGTGAGAGCCGCACCCCTTTGAAGACTCACGGTCTGATGGGCCTGATGCGCTGTCACACCTAGATACCGGGAGTTCCTACACACTAGTCATCCTCAAGGGTAAATGGAGATACCGAGCTGGGCTTTGGGGAGTAAGAGAAGATGCACAGGAGGATTTAAATGACTACTTAAAGCTGATGTTATTGCGTGTGCTGTGAAAATAGCAGATGTGAGGTTAGCAAGAGGGTTGTGTGCAGGGTTTTGGGGTTTTGTTTTTGTTTTTGTTTTTTTTTTTTTCGAGACAGGGTTTCTCTGTGGTTTTGGCGCCTGTCCTGGAACTAGCTCTTGTAGACCAGGCTGGTCTCGAACTCACAGAGATCCGCCTGCCTCTGCCTCCTGAGTGCTGGGATTAAAGGCGTGTGCCACCACCGCCCGGCAAACGTGTCTGTATTCTGTCTCCACTCGCAAGTGCTGGTGTTAGAGGCCTGTGCCATGTGCCATTTTAGCCATGCTAACTATTACTAAGTGCTTAGTTGTGTGTCACTGCGGGCATTTACACAGCAGGCCGCCATCACCACCGTAGAGCTCCTTTGTGACTGCCCCACTCCTTTGTCTCCACTCCGCCCCCTCCCAGCCTGGTGACCACATCCTGAGTTCTGTCTGTGTGCTTGGCAGATTCAGGGCCTCCTGGAAGCAAGATCAAACAGTCTCTTCTATTGTTGCCTCCTCTCACTCACCAAGCCTTCAGCGTCAACTGTGTTATAGATCAAACCAGAATTTCACTCATTTTGTGTTTTATGTGTGCATGCATGTACACATAACGTGTGTGCCATGGCATGCTTATGGAGGCCCAAGGACAGCTTTCATGGGTGAGTTCTCTTCTTCCACCTCATTGAAGCAGGGTTCCTGCCATGATTTCTCTGCACCACATGTTCCAGACTAACTGCTCCATGAGTTCCTGTCCTGTTTGTCTCTGCCTCCTCTCTCTGTGTGGGAGAGCTTGGATTAGAGATGCTTGTAACCATACCCAGAGCCTTATGTGGGTTCCAGTGCAAATGTGTATCATCGGGCTTACAAAACTAGCATTTTCACCTGCTTATCCACCTCCCTGCTCCCGCCACCTTATTTTGTTTTGTTTTTGAGATGGGGTCTCATAGTCCAAATGGCCTTGAACTTGATATGTTGCCAAGAGTGAGCTTTAACTGTTGGCCCTTGTGCCTCCATTTTCCAGGTGATAGGATTACAGACATGTACCACTGTACCTGGATTTATGCAGAGCTGGGGATGGAATATGGGGCTTTGTGCATGCCAGGAAGTATCCTGATACCTAAGCTCTATCTCCTACCTTCTGCTTCTGCTCCGGTCCGCCTTACCGATAAACCATATCTTATTATACATTCAT